TCTATATGTATCACAAAGTTTAATAAAAATTTTACCTTTGCAATGTTTGATTAAATTTTGGGAAAATACATTGTGAAATATTTTATCAACATTTGGAACAACTTTAAAAATTCACTGAGAGCATTATGTCAAAATCCTGCAGGAAACCATGATCATGATAATTTCAACGACTAAGCCCACCACTGATTTTTTTCTTTATATAGTTCCATTTGGCTTAGTATTGCTGTGGGGCTGAGAGGAATGTTGTGGCGTTGAGATTACTGTATAGAGTTAGGTATCTAATAATGTTAACACATGGTGAGGATCATCCTGAAATGTCTAATGTTGATGTAAGTATTGTTTTATCAATGTTCTCTTGTTTCATCATACACATGTACATGTATTGTTTAAAAGTATTGTAAATTTTGTATCATAACTGTTATTATTTATTTTAATTACATTGAGTAGTTTTACATTGGTTTACTACTGAGTAATGCTGGTCATTATGAAGAAAGTCAGGCATATCTGGAAAGTGCTCTTAGATTACAAAACAAGTGAGCTAGTATATACAAATCAAGAGAATTAAGGCTGGCTATGTTTGTTCTTGTATCTGTTCATTAGGTTTCATGGAAGTCAATCAATTACTGTAGCCACAATGTTAGTAATGATAAGATACATGTACATGTACATCTTATCTTATCGTTTTCTCATTGTTTTGGCTCCTCCTTCCCTTCCCCCTCTCTCTTTTCCTCTCTCTCCATCCCTCTTTCTCTACCTCCCTCCCTCTCTTCTCTTGTCATCATCTTCTTGCCAACTTATTGACTCACATTGGAGCATTTGCTGAAGCTAAGCAAAATAAGAGAAAAGCATACAATATCTATAGGACTAAAGTATGCAGTAATGTTAATGCCAGGCCATCTAGGTTTCTTAACTGTTTTCTCTCACATTTAGTTTGGCCCAGATCATGCACGTACTGTTCAGTCTTTTAAAAAACGTGAGGTATATCACTGAGAAGCAAGTCTCTTATGATCAGACAGTAAGTGTATTTGGCTAACTATTGCCAATGGTTAATTACCAAAATTATCTTGTTCATATGTTGTCTTCATAAATTATAAATAATTATTGTTTCGAAAAAGAAAAAATAGCAATGCCAAGTGTAACTACTTGTAAACACCCAAATTCTCACATGATGCGAATATCAGTAGCCTGAGCTAATTATTGTAAACACTTGATCTTTGTATATAGTTATACATACTACTGTATCAGATATTACAGGTACCAATATTGCACACTCAAAAATTTATGATAATGCCGTCACCATAGTATGAAATTAATGTGGTAGAAATTTAGGTTTCAAAATTTTGTGATCTAATTTTTACGTAGTAAAATTATTGAATATGGCATGTAATTTTATGTGTGATATAAATTAAAGGACAAGGCTGACTATGGCATGGTACAGCTTTCAGCTGTGCAATGCTTTTGCAGATACAGGTCAGCTTGATTTTATTATATAATTGTTTTCCCTCCACTCACGCCCTTAAGTGTACATGTCCTACATCTTTTACCTTGCATGTGTATGCTATGCACCCTAATGCTCAAAATAAATAAATGAATTAATCCAACAAGTCATACAAGGCTTGCCTAAGCTGTGACTTAATAATCACATGCATTCCATGGTGTCTACATGTATACATTTAATATGCCTTTTAGTCAAACTTTGTTGAATCCATCATTTTCTAATTATTATAATTTTGATGAAATTTATCTCATTTAGCCTGAAATAAATTTTGCTGTTCATTCACACTATGACACTCAGTTTATTTTAGTGGCATGCGCTTGCACTGACACTATATACAATACTTCTCACTTTATTCAACACTATTATGACAATATGTAGTGACACAGGCTTGCATTTGCAACTTGCATGAATAAATAGATCATTCTAGAGCCTTTTCTAATAGTAATCAATTTATTTGCTGTCACTACTCATACTGGTAAATCCTATCAGTATTACCCTATCTTTAATATTCTTGTACATGTACATAGTTAACTTTGAAATAGCCTACATGTCAGTCGATTTTAACTAAAATTTACATTTATTATTACCATACACATTATATGGCGACATATTTTTGTGGAAATGAGTTGTTCTGAGTCTACTCTGATTTGAACATGTACACTTATGCTCCTCCCTTATCTACTGTAGGTTGCCTAAATTTCCTTGCCAGTTATTTGAGTGTTACATCATCTAATCGTTTAGCAGTGCAAAGTCATCATTAACTGTGAGTTAGTAGTAACTGGTAATGATTAAAGTATGCATGTACATTTATAGATTCTGCTTCTACATGTACATGTACAAGATTGTTAGTTATTTTCAGTTTTAATAACACTCCTGCCATTCTCACACCTAGCATTTAATACAGTTACTGTAACACACACATGCAGGTGATACCAGTCGTGGCACACAATATTCTTTAGAGAAATGTTGTAGCAGACAACACTTTGTGATGATTGATATTGAATTAGTACATTTTACGTTAACGTGGCCTACTCTAATAACTGCCTTTTATTTCTCGTTGTTGACTTGTACTTATGATTAATAATTTTTGCTTTTTTTTGTTTTTCTGTATTTTGTAAATGTGGTGGTATGTGTGTGATGTTTGAGAGTACCGTTGTATGTACCATTGTGTGATTGTGTTGTATGTACCATTGTAATAAAGATGAGTGTTTGGTTGCATGTACATGTACATATCTTCTCCTACAGTCCTTGACTTCATATAATCCTTATAGTTCATTAATCTGTTTTATTTCTCTCTTTCTTTTTTGTGTATTTTTGTTCTTTCTATGTTATGTCTGTTTAATTTTTATCAGCTAAAATTAAACTCTCATTTGGTCTTATTTTATGCACAAATCAACAAGTAATTATTATGAAATTGGAGCTTTATGTGTTATTCTTTTTCAAAAGCTAGTACATCTTACTGCTAGTGAAGTATTTGGACTCAGTTTAGTGTAATCTTGCTGAGCATTTGCTGCAAATAAGCCCAGACTTGCTGATAGCCGCCATTTTAATTCATTGTGACCACACCCACTTTTAATGAAGATTAGGCTACTTAACTTTAGTATTAGTTGGACGACCCTATCCCCATACAGACAACATCTTTCTCCTTTTAGTGGGCTTTGCTCAATTGCAGTAAAAGTAATGTTAATTTTTAAAACCTCAAAGCAAAGTCTAAGGTCTTTCTAAAATCGTGTGCACTGTCACATCTATTATTAATATTTTTATCACAAAAAATTGTTTTCTTAATACTATGTAATTATTAATTCATGTTATATTTAATTTTTAATGTAAATTGCTGTGATAAATCAGATCCGTATTGTCTCTGACTGAAAGTGTATACTTGTGAAACAATACACGTTTTATGCAGTCACCACTTCTTTTGCATGAGTTAATTAATGTGTTCAGGCATACATGTACAAGTAGGGCCACTACTGTAGTTAGAGAGTACTCAACGTAAAAATTTGTACTCTTTAATATTTTGTGGCTTTGTTCTAATACATTCATGTAATTTTCATTTTTGAAAATTAGTTTACAATTTGGATAGATTTAGTTTTTGAGCTTTCTGAGACCTTTTGTCAATGACTATACCAAGATACAGTATTTAGTTTATTAGGTTAATTGTAAATTTACTACATTACATAATTAAAAAATGACATTTAGTAACTCTTGTAAGACATTACAACATATTCTTTGATCAAATTAATATTAATAGTGCTTAAATTGGGTTTATTTTTGTAGTTTTAATTCACAGATTTATCTCAACTATCTGGCAATACGAACTACAAATTTTGTTATTTTAATAGTAACATCCACATGGTCATAAATAATTGGCTATTGTTTTTACTGCTTTAGGTTTGTGTTTTGTTACTTTTTTAGCACTTTT